TCACAGTTCTAGTTGTAAATGCAGACTCAGGAAGGAAAAAATATCTTATCTAAGGTTTGTTTTTAAACCTAGATGTCAGTTAAATATCCCTGTCCCATGGTGCTGAGAGTGTTGGGCCTTTGCTGCTCAGGCTATTTATCTGTACCCATCATTTCTCAGAGTAAAATCCTGGGTCACCTTTTGCCTAGTCAATTCCTTCCACCCTCCAGGTCTTCACCTTGACTTCTCTTTATGAGGGAAGAATTCCTAGACTCAGGGCTTTCCTGTCACACACTTCCATCTTACTTTGCATCACTCCTTTATAACTAGCTTTCTCTAGTTTAGCACTTGTCATCCTCACACAGAAGCTTTCAAGAAGAGGGATTCATTGTGGTATTCTAAGAGGTACCTGGGACACATGGGAACCCAGGAAACCCTTGTTGTCAAAGTGGATGAATAAAAGGAATTGAATGAATGAATTAATTAGTGAATAAATGACAAGATGTGTCTAAGTTCTCTTTTCACAACCAAAATGAATTACATTTTATCTCTGTATCATCCCTATGTGGGATGAGAGACAGTATGTGTCCCCACTTTCCAGGTGAGGATTTAGAAGTTCCTCCGTCATAAACCCTTGGTTTTTGGCTACAATGGACCCTTTGCCATTCCCCCCAAGCACTTACATCACTTTAGCTCTGTATTTGTATGTCCATCTAAAATACTCTTTCCCAACCCTCATAGAATCCAACCTCTATCTTGAAAGACACACGAAAACTGGCAGCAGTGTTGTCAGCAGCAAGGATCATAGGGAGAAGGATCTTCATTCTGCTCTCATTTGTTCTGTGGAAGTTTCAGAGACACACATGCAACTGCATCTCTCTTCCAATAAACAAAAAGATTAAAACAAAAATCTGTATGCTAAAAAAGTTCCTATATATTTTCTAAACTTCCCTTTGTACACACTTTCTACATTCTCCTATAATTTATCAATTCCTTTCACCTTTGAAGTTTTCTATATTTCAATTAGTATTGATTCAATTCAAGGTCCTCATGGGACCTTGATACACTGTATCATTCTTCCCAATTTCTCAATCAGAAGCTTATCCAGTTTCATTCACTGGCAAGTCTAGAGTGTACAAAGACTGTTGATCTACTCTGCTTATTTTCCTCATTTACAAAGTTGTTATAGTACTGACGGTGATGATAACCTCGTAGGGTTGGTGTGATAAATGATAAACACTTCGAATAATGTCTTGTTTAAAGCAAATATATAGGATTTTCTATGATTGTTTATTCAACAATGATTTTTCAATGACTCTCACATGCCAGACACTATGTCAGGTGATCATCAGAGACAATGATTGCCCCTTTTGCTCCCTACCCTTACACCTTGCCCGGCCACATCAGACGCACTCAGTAGATCAGTGCTGAATGCAATCTTTGAAGGTCAGTCTATAAATGACCAAATCCCTGATGCTTTGAACTCTATTCCAATGCTGCAGATAGAGAAAGGTGAGGTTTTATATCATGGGATTAATTTTTTTTTGAAGAAGAAGAATCTAGATCAATACATTGGCATAGAATGGGCCAGTAGCTGCATTAGGTTGGGTCAAGTCTAGAACCCTTATCTGTTACTCAACATGCATGAAAGATGTGGGAAGGACCCACATGGAAGAATAAAGCACCTCATTTTTGGAGAGTCATCAATCCTAACTCATATATCCCTGTAGTGGCCAATACTGATGATGAGGTCATGCAAATACCGGGTAAGGGGATGCGAGCTGTCTCCACTCAACATGGATATGGACCCAAAATTGCTCTACAAATAAAGTCTAGTTTAAAAGATTACTGATACATTGAAGGATCTGAGCCAATTGATTTCTAGACATGATGTTACAACATGTTTGGTCTTTGGTGTGGATTTTTCAGAATGTAAACTTATCATTTTATATCTAATTCAAGTGCTCATGGAAACATTAGGCACAAGTTATGTGAAAGTATCAGTGAATTGGAGTTAATGGTCTATGTAGATGAAGACCGTAATGTTCTGGCATAAATGATGAGGGGGACAGCCATATCGGAGGCCAACAAAAATGATATTATTACACAATTGGATCAATAATTGGATACACAATTATTGTATCCAATGAATTGAAGAAACTTGAGGCTGACTTTGTAGGAACCCTAGCCTGAGCTGTATCCATTGTAAAGACTATAAGGCTTCCTGAGGGCCTAATAAATATGAACATTGTGACATAAGCACAATATATCTGTCTTCTCTAAGGGCAAGAAATTAAAGATGACTCCCAGTAAAATATAGAAGAAAAAGGCATAAAAGTTTACCTGCAGTTATTAACCCAAAGGGTAGTAACTCTTTACTATGGCTCTCGGATTTAAGTCAAGACACTATATAGAAGTCGTGTCAAATAACCTTGTGGCATTCAATATAAATAAATCAATTGTCATTTAGGAGAATTTCTTTTACTCTGGCAGGGACTCTTTGCTTTTTGCAGATCTGACTGGGAACTGAAAATTGAGCTGGGATGGAAAGGTGCTGATTTTTACAAGAATTGAGCTTCTTGACTGGGTTGCCCAGACACGACTGATCTGCCTCATTTGCAAGGCACTTCTATTTGAGTTTTATTGGGGTTTTACAAAAGAGTACACATTTAAAAATAGAAGCCTGACAAAAATTGAACCAATTTTAGAAGGTGTAATGCAAGGAAAGGACGGTTGCTAAGTGCTGTGTTCTGGGGCTGGGCTGTCACTCACCAACAAGTGACCTCTCACCCTTCAGCAGAACATTTGTTAGCTACACCTGAGCTTCCACAGAGAAAAACAAAAAATCATCCTATAGCTATTAGTCACCAAGTGTTCCAGCAATGGTGGGATTCAGACAAGATACAGTGAGGAAGGCCATGCTCTACCTAAGAAGATGTTTGGTTAGGCAATCTAAGCTCTCAAAGTGGGGCTAAACAAAGGCCGCCCCATCTGAGACTTGAACAAGAGATTCCATTTATAGCACCCCTCCATCCCTGGCACATTCCTGGGCTTTTCTTAGAAAAGTCCAAAATGGATTTGCAGTTATGAAAACCCCAAGACCAAAGCTCTCTAGCCCTCAGGATTTCCCCATCCCCTTCCTAAAGCCATCTCTATGCCAGCTGTCTCTCCCACAATCTCATCAAATCCTAAAATGGAGTTGCCCGTTCCACTCACATGGTCAGCACGGTATCCCCACTTAGCATGGTTGCTCTCAAATACCTTTCCTTATAGCACTGACCCACTGCGCAGAAAACAATAGCCTGCCTTGGAAAGAAGCATCAGCGGGATGGGAGAGAAGTCTGGCTTTAACTTTGCTACCAGTCGGGCCCACTACAGGAGCTTCTTTGACCTTAAATTTCTCCATTTGCATTTCCCACATTCTATAACCAGCCGGGCTCCAAAACTCCCAACCTCTCCCCTTCTTGCTGCTTCGGAATCATCTCTTATAAGAACGTGTGACCACAGTGAAGCCACCGTCTGTTGTCAGCCAAAGGGCTGAGGTTTCTCACTTCTACCTGTTTTTCCTCTACCACCTTTGCTCTACACCGGACCATGCTCGTTGTCTGCTGGTGCATGTGTGAGAGTCACTTTCCACAGCAAGGATTCAGGACAAGTCTTCCAGAGCTCTGTTCCACAGCATGGGTCATTGCTAGAAGGGTACCCACCCCAAACCAACCACTCAGAATTTCAGCCAGAGTCCATTACACCAAGAGGCTGATTACGGATGTAGCGGGTGCCTTTGGCTTCTGGTTTCCTTAGAAACCAGTGTCCATGGAGCTAATCCCTGGAACCCGAGGTTCAAGGAACATATTATTTTCTTCCTCTTTGAAAGACACAGTAGAAACCCAGAGGCACTCCTTCAGGAAGAAGCAACTGAACCACACACCCCATCCTGTGCCCCCTATATCCCCAAAGCTCTGATTCCAAACTGCTGAACACAGGACTCAAACCCTTAAACAAATGGACACTCACCGGTTCCGTAGCTCAATTCAAAAGCCAGAGAAAGAAACAGAAGCATGCCCAAGGAAAGGGACCTGTTGGGATCCATTAGCCAGTGAAGAGAGGGCCGCGGTTCCTGGCTGGGAGCCGGCCAGCTGCTCACAGTTGCCCTGGCAGAGGCTCTCATCAGATAGTGCTGCCTCTGCGTTCAAGTTTACACATCAGGAACCACCGAGTTCCTGAACCAGCTTCCTGTCTCAACTGGGTTTTTTTTTGTTTTTTTTTTTTTTTTCTCTCTGCTTGAGTCTCAAGGATTGCTCATATCTGATCAGGCTTAAATCACTTCGTTGTTCTTGAGAAGCTTAAGTCAGGTGTCTAGACCCATGGGATCCAGGAAAGGACCTGTGTAGTCACTTCAGTCAAACTCTGGTTTGAGGCAGAAACATGCTCCCTCCCCACCCTCCTTTTTCTAAGCTGCTTCCAGGAAATGGTGTCACAGTTCTCTGAGCAGGTCTGTCTGGTAACTATTCTTGTGTCCTAAGGAAAGACAGACTCTGGACAGACCACCTCCAAATGAGGTCATTCAGAGCTCAGGTTCTGTAACTAAACTTCAGTTAGTTACAGAGATAATAGTCTTATTTCTTACTTGTTCCACGATCTCACTGAACACCTCTGTAAGACAGATCCAGAGCTTCAGTCACAGACTGATGGGGTGGGCAAGAGTGGACCACTGACCAACAGCCCATTTCCCTGACAGACACAGTGTGGCAGGATCAAGCTAGTTCTGTGCTGCCTTCAATTTAGAGCCTGTGTGTAAGTTTTCTCTATAGAAAGGACTTACTGTGGGAAAAGAACACTAGAAAATGCTATGATCAGGGCTCACAAGGAGATTTTGAAAGATGAGGCTAGGTGTCTGTGTGTGTGTGTGTGTGTGTGTGTGTGTGTGTGTGTGTGTGTGTGTGCGTGCCTGCCACGGTTGTGCATGTGGATGTCAAAGAACAACCCTTGGGTGTCAGTTTTCTCCTCCCATCATGTGGGCTCCAGTTACTAAACTGAATTTGCTAGGCCTGTATAGCAAGTGCCCTTTTCCCCTGAGCCATCTTGTTGGTCCCCAGACTAATGCTTTTAGAATTCGTTGTCATAATCAGAGACGCTCTACTCTTGGCCTCCCCAAAGGCCAGAGGGTAGAAAGAGCTGGGGACAGAGGAAAACTAGTCTTTTTCCTTTTTGCTTTCCCTTTCCATCTTTCAGTATACAACTTCATAGTGGTGAGTTGGGTATGGTACTTTCCCAGCTCTACACTCAGCATCATCACCCTGGGAACTAGATATCTGCAGCGTGTGGAATTAATACCATGGAAATTGGCAAACGATATAAATCAGAGTTTCCTTCCTTCCCTTCCTTCCTTCTTTGTTTCCTTTCTTTTCCCTTTGTTTTTCATTTTGTTTTGGTTTTTGAGACAGGGTCTCACTACGTAGTTCTGGCTGACCTAGAACTCACTGCATAGACTGGTCTGGTCTCAAACTCACCTAGTTCTGTTTCCCAGTCATTAAATCAGTTTTCAAAAATAATGTAGGTCCTAGAGTCATACAGCTACCAGACAAAAAGCTCCACTCAGTGTGCTTCTGCCAAGCTCCGCCCTCTCTTCCAAACGCTTACTTCATCCTTCCAAAATGAACCATCTCCTTAAAAAATTTTTTTTCATTAGTTCTTTGAAAATTTAAATTCTTATCATATTTATGCCCCCATTCTTCCAAGGACATTCACCTAACTTTGTGTCCTTTCTTTTCATAAAAACCGCTTTGTGCTACCCAAATAATCTTGGATGTGCGGTCTTCCACTGGAGCACATACTATACTCTCAGAGAAAATTGTCCCTCCCTCTTTCAGAAGCTGATGACCATTAATACGTCCATGCTAGCAGTGGGGTTTTGTGCCCCACTCTCATCTCTAAGCTGAGACTGAGTTTGCACAGGTTCTGTGTATGATGTTACAATTCCTAGGAGTTCCTATGTGCAGCTGCCCTCTGGGTCTTGAAGACAGTTTCCTTGTAGTTGTCTACCACCTCTGGCTCTTACATGCTTTCCTGATGTTTTTAACAAAAATCTCAATTGTTTGATTCTACTAATAAAAACTTGGGAGACAGGTGCTGGGATCAAAGCTTGCTTCCCCAGAGAAACAGGGAAAGCATGGAGCTAACCTGACTCTTCAAGTGCTGGCCCGGAAGCTTCCTAACATCTACCACCATCTCAAAACTGAATGTCCCTCCCTTGTGCTTCTTGAGCGTCTCTCTTTCCATCCCAACCCCCTCTTACTCTCTGTGGTGGTTTTTTCTTAATAATCTTATGTTCACCCTCTGTCAACTGGTTGCTTACTCCACCTCTTGACCTATCGTTGACTTTATTTAATCCTGTTTACAATATTCAAACCCTTGTATTAAAGGCGAAATGTTGAGGCTGAGCCATACCACAACTAGAGACAGGTTTTGCCATTAAACAACACAATCTTGGGGTTCACAGTGTTCTCAAATATCCTGCAACACTCTCTGCCCCCACTCTTGGGAGGAAGGGGGTGCAGTAGAGATGTTCCATTTACAGATGAGTATTTTACAATCTCTTATTCTCTGGACCTTGACCAGTTGTAGGATCTCTGTGTTAGCCACCCACTACAAATAAAGTTTCCTCTGATAACAGTTGAGATTAAATAAGAATGACTCCCATAGGCTCAAATGTTTGAATGCTTAATCATCTAGGAGTGGCACTACTTGAGAGGGATTATGAGGTGTGGTCTTATTGGAGGAAGTGTGTCACTGGGGGTGGGCTTTGAGGTTTCAAAACTCCAAGCCAGGCCAAATAGCTTTTTCTTCCTTGTGCCTGTGGATCCAAATGTAGAATTCTCAACTCCTTTTCCAGCATCACATCTACCAGCATGCCGCTACTCTTCCTGCCATGCTGATAATGAACTAAACATCTAAACCTAAAAGCAAGCTCCAATTAAGTGCTTTCCCGTGAGAGTTGTCATCGTCATAGTGTCTTTTCACAGTAATAGGACATAGACTAAGACAAGGGTTGAGAAGTGCATTAATCTATAGGTATAATGATAAGTTTAGAATTAACCCTCTTCTAGTCTCACCTTGAGGCATTTCTACTTCATGCCATGTTGTGTGGTATTCACCAAAGAAGACTGCTCAGACATATTAAGCCAATAGAAAGTATTAGTTAACTGCTGGCTATACTTCGTGTTTAAGATCCCAGGTTAGCACTGAGCCTTTCTCAGGGTGAGCTTTTAAGCAAAAACAAAAACAAATAATAAAAACAAAAACCAACAAAAAACCCCACAAAACAAAACAAGCCAGGCGTTGGTGGTGCATGACTTTAATCCCCGTACTCAGGAGGCAGAGGCAGGCAGATCTCTGTGAGTTCGAGGCCAGCCTGGTCTCCAGAGCGAGTGCCAGGATAGGCTCCAAAGCTACACAGAGAAACCCTGTCTCAAAAAACAAAACAAAACAAAACAAAACAAAACAAAACAAAAAGCATGTTCTGGGTTGACATACTTAGAATAGTTAGCTAGAACTGGAACTCCAGAAGCAGCAAGCAAGGTTTCTACGTTTAGAGACTTTTCCAGAATTGTGGACTACAGTGGATTAGGTCTTTGTTTTCAATTTTGGAAGGTGGTATTGTCTCCTTGCTGAGCTGTATGGCCTGAATGGTACTTTCCTCATGGAGTCAGCTGTACTAAGGCCTGGAGTCCTGTTACAGCCTCATGATTCTCTCGTCAGAGAGACATCAAGGTAATTCAGGGTTTTAGTCTGAAATGGTTGATTATTTAGGACAATATTTAAAGTCCATCAATGTACACTGACTCAGACATGTAGGTGAATGGAATAGTGTCTCAAGTCAAATTCTTGCTTCCTTGGAATATCAGAATATGACCTTATGTGGAATAGGGATTTTTAATGTAACATAAAATCCCAGCTCAGTTAGAGTGGTCCATAAATTTAATGAGAGTTTCTTCAGAAGAGAGAAAAAAATACACCAGAAATGTCAAACCAAGATAGCAGGGATTGGATTTATGCAACTATATCCAAGGAACATAAGAGAACCTCAGACGCTGGGAGAGATGAGGCAGGGTCTCTCAGAGAACCTTTAAGGAGGCCTGGACCTCTTGATGCCTTAGTTTCAGACATTTTTGTTCTCTGAAACTGTGACAGAATGGATTCTTGTTGTTTCAGCTTCCCATCTTGTGCTACAAGAGACACAAGGAGCTAATGTGGATTTAGGTTATGTGGTAGCTCGAATAAAACTGGCCTCCATAGGGAGTGGCATTGTTTGAAAGGATTAGGACCTGTGGTCTTGTAGGAATAGGTGTGTCATTGGGGGTGGACTTTGAGGTTTGAGAAGCTCAAGCCAGGCCCGGTGGCTCACTCTGTCTTCTTGCTGCCTGCGGATCTGGAAGAACTCTTGACTTCTCCAGAAACATGTCTGCAACTGTGAGTTCTACCATGATGATAATGGACTAAACCTCTGAACCCGTAATCCCGTCCTAATTAAATGTTTTCCTTTATAATAGTTGCCATGGTCATGGTGTCTCTTCATAGCAATAGAAACCCTAATTAAGATAGGCAATGTCTTCACAGCAATAGAACACTGACCAAGACAGGCAATGTGGTGAATCAGACCAATGTGGAAAGACACACGGGGCACCTTGCATTCACACAGCCATTGCTGTGGGGCCAACACATTTACTATGTTATCCTCACAGCAGTCCTGGGAGCAGACAGAGCTAGTGGGAGTCTAGAGCTGGATCTAGACCAAATTTGAGCATTCAGACTCTGGGTAAAAGGTGTTTTCTCTTTTTCTGGAGTACACTTATTATTCCCTGAAGACTCCAGAAGGTGGAAAGGAAGAAAATGCCACTAACCCCTGTAGGCCCGGGGTTTCCATGTGATATTCCATAAATCTCTGAAACAGTGAAAAGAAGGTTTAATTTCCCTGTTTTACAGATGGAGGTCTAAGAGTTGCTGCACACACATGCACACAGAGAGAAATATATATAGAGAGAAATCCTTGATTGCCTAACTCTACATCTATGCTTTCTCTATTCACTATAC